TTATAATCCACCATACTCTCCTAGGATTAGCAAGAGAATTAAGAAAATAAAACATCTAAAGGACTTAGACTAGACTAGTGTCCACCACACAAGTAATAAGCTCAATGTGTGCATTTCTGCTTAGTCACTAAGTCGTGTCCGACTCTTTGCACCCCTTTGGACTCTAGCCTGCCAGGCTCTTCTGTCCATGGGATTTCCAGGCAAGAATACTGCAGTGGGTTGCCATTTCCTTCTCCAGGGCATCTTCTTGACTCAGGGATCAAACCTGCATCTCCTGCACTGGCAGGCGGATTCTTTAGCACTGAGCCACCAGGGAAGCCCCTAATAAGCTCAGTAAGTATTAGCTATTATTATTCTGATTGAGGTTGCCAAGAAAAGTTCCGCCTCAGACAGAAATCTGAGTTTAATCTTGAGAACTAGGCAGAATTTCTGTATGTAGAGAACCAAGGGCCTCCCAGGTGGACATGGGCTCAATCCCTGGGTCAGGAAGAGCCCCTGGAGAAGGAAATAGCAACCTACTCCAGTATTCTTGCCTGGAGAATCCCATGGACAGAGGAGACTGGAGGGCTTCAGTCCATAGGGTCGCAGAGTCGGACACGACTGAAGCAACTTAGCATGCAAGGTCTCTTTTAAGGATACAACCTATGCATGGGCACTGTGGCTGAAAGAGGGTCATGTTCAGAAAACAGCTAATAGCAGGCTTCCCAGCAGTGCTAGAACTAGATTCTGAAGCTCAGGATGCTGGCCAAGGAGCTGGGTTTGACCGTGGGGTCATAGTAAACCATTGGCTTTTGACTAAGTGCTAGTCCATAGCACTATTTCCTGTCTTTTATTGTTATTTCAGTTCTTGTTTTTCAATAAGCTTCTTGATGCTGATGGTTTTGTGACACCTCTGGCCACATCTACCGGAGATGTAAAACAAAACATGAGAAACCTACGAGTTTTGTCTGGGTTTTGCCACTCCTTGACTTTGGGGAATCAAGAGGTCCTTCCCTCCTCAGTTTTATTATAAAATGGAATAGTATCTCTACTTGCCTTCCCATGGTGGCAGTCTGAAAGGTCAGGTCACAGGAAGGAGTATTGACTAACTGAAAAATACACCGGAGAGGCCAGACTTTGGTGTTTAAATAATTGGAAGATGACTCATACATCTTAAGCAAAAAACTCAAGAAGGAGAGCAAGTTTCAATGTGGATGCCCCTCCTGTTAGGCAGCAAAACCCTTCTTGATCTGCTCTGAAGAGAAACTTGAGTTCACCCAGTGAGGTGAAATGGCCCTGAGCAATATGAACCACAGAGTCACCGGGCTCCCTGCTACCCTAAAGGCTGACCAGCCTGCTCAGAGCTGGTAGTAGCTCCGGTTAGACTGCTCAGTGCCAGCAGGCTCAGCAGCTTTCCACTGTACATAGTTTAAATGCAGATTCACTGATGAATAAATTTGACAATTCTGTTGAAGTACGAAGACTGCTTGAATTAGATGACTACATGATCATATTTAATTTTTTTTGTAAGACAATTCTGGCTCCTCTTAAGCCATGTGGAATCCATCCTGCTGAGTGCTCTTGACTAGTCACGTCCTTCCTGCCATTTTAAAAACAATAGTGGCAGAGATGCAAGCTGCTGGTAGTGCTCAGCAGGACAGATCAAACACACAGATGCAATTTCTGTATGTTGAACAGTGAAGTAGGATAAAATTCAAATACTTACAATCGCTTAGTAGCTAGCATCTGATTGCTGCAAATTGAATCTCTCATAACGGGATTTATTGTAAATAGTGTCATATCATTTGTGAGTTCTGCAATAATTTCAGTCAAAGCCAGGGCAAGATATTGGATGTGTGTAATGTACACGATAGAAACATTAGTTTATATACAGATTGTGAACGGATTTTTTATTATCAATATTTTTTAATTGCTTACAAAAAAGCCATAATTGTAATTTTTCTCTGAATTTAAAACATTCTCAAATAGTGTAACTTCAAAATACAGAAGAAAGCAGCCTAACCACTTCAACAGCTGTTTAAGAATTGCAATCCCTAACCACCCCCTTTCCCTTCTACCCAAGTTGTTAAATAAGCATTGAAATTATAGGTAGTTAAAATTTTTGAAATGTGACTTTTCTATTGTTTGGAAATGGCAGAAGTCCTGCTAATCATAATTAGTGATCAATAATATATCCCACCAATAAATATATATATATATATACATATATGTAGAAATTCAAAATTAAGATACTGCAAGGTCTACAAAACATACCTTAATTTCTAATTCCCTTATGATAAAATGGAAAGATGCCAATAATTTAAGTGATCAATACTCTTAATTTGCCTTTGGGTTTAGTTCCAAATATGTCATTGGAAGCTCATAAAACATCAACATCAAAACATAAAAATTGTACTTTTAGTGTCTGAGAGTTGGGTGACACTTCACACACTTGATAACTTTAATTGCTAATGAAACAGAACCCCCCAAAGGCACTAAATTACAGTTATACAGTCTTCCTATTCAAGATCTACTAAATAAGAGAAATTTTTAAAAAATAGTAAGGCCAGAAGATTTGGATAATCTGTTCTCTTTTCTTTCCCTGCTCTAATAAAAAAAAAAATCCTTTTCTATTATCTTATCATGTATTTGGGCTTTTTTTTATTATAAATATGACTATGAGAACACAGCATCTCAGCAAGATTGAATAAAGTAGTCTTGCTCTCAAACAACCTAGGATATTGATAAAGACCATTGTGAGGGATAAACGCTTGGGTTGGATCCTGCCTAGTCTATTTAAGAGTAAATATCCCATATGCATATTAATGTTGATCACTGTAAGTGGGAAACTCCTGATTTCTGAACCAAAGAATTTTCAGGTTTTCCCCTCCCTTAAGCAGGTGTCTTTCATCTTTTACCAATCAAAGGGGAAGGTTAAAAGGCAGGATTTCAGTAGTACCCTGATGTGTATTTTAATATGTTTACTAATCAGAGCACATATCAGTTAGAATGAATCATGTTCATATACTTAATAGCCAGCAAAACTCAATTTAACTCAGATCCAGCTTTCTTCCATGTTCATTTTCTTCAAGGGCATACCTACCTTCCTTTTCCTGCTTTTTTTTTTTTTCCTTCCTTTCTTGGACACCTCCAGCCCCCATTGACAACCAAAATGCAGGGCTATAAATGTAAGGGCGCAATACATCATGAGATAAGTCTAAGAGAACACGTCCTCTACCAAAATGCACATGAATCTCTGGTACAGCTAAAATTCCAGAGTCATGCTGGGGTTCATTTTGCATGCTAAGCAGGGTCAAAAATGTGAGCTCTCTGTGATCGACCTTATATATCAGATGAGCTCCAAAGTTTAAAGGTTACATTTGTGAAATTGCAGCTGGCTCTCCTAGCACTTGATTCTAGCTCCTGCAAATCAAAGACTCCTAATTGAAAGGCAAATCTGACAATAGGATAATTTTCCAATTAAAAAAATAAAGTGACTTTTGAACCCTTCCTGCTGAAGAGCTGACAGAGAAGTTCCGAGATGGTTGTATAACCCGACAAAATGATGGAGAAAATATGTTTTCCAACAAGATCATAAAGCTTGAATAATGCAGGGAAGCAAATGTAAAGCGAAGAGCTGTCCTCTATTCTGTCTACGTCCCCCCACCCCCGCTGTACACTCAGCCACTCAGTTCTTAGGCAAGGACTCCTGACTTCCAAGTCAGACCCAAACCCCAAACACCAAGACACTATAAAGTGGCATCTTGGCAGACTTTGAGATCAGACGGTTTCTGCATTTCCCAGTGTAGGGGGGTGGGGGGGTGCAGAGTGAAAGGGAAAAGCAGCAATGTAGAGAAATCTGGAAACAACAGCACATCTACAGACACAAAAAGTTTGCATATTGCACAGAGCGCTTGAAGATCATAAATCTATGCATGAGAAAGATGTAGTGGAAATTTTGGGGGGGATTAGAGTTTATTTTTGTCATCTCTGTGAGACAGCTACTCATTCATCCAGATCACAGCTAAGAAAAAAGCTGGTCACAGAAATTAGCAGTTTCAGCTCAGCAGCGAAGTCGCCAGCCTGTGAAGGCAGAGAGAAATTGACTAATTAGCAATGTGCAGTAAAACTTGACGGTTCTTTATAGAGAGAGAGAAGAGAGAGGGAGAAAGAGGGAGCCGGAGGGAGGGGGGCTCGCTTTTTCCCCTTCTTTCTTCCAAAGATGTTTGAAATCGCAGTCATTTACGCTCGACAATTTTTACAATAGCCTTGAGCCATAATTTTGCGAGTCTCTCCAGCATCCATCCCCCTGTATGGTCTCTCTCTACTGGCCAAGCACGACCGTTTCTCTCCCCAACCGTGGATTTCCTATTACTCTCGTTACGACTCACTGAGCCCCAGGCCCAAGGATAATGATGTGTTGTTTCTTGGTAGCATAATTTGTCACACGTACATTTTTTCTTCTTCTTCTCTTGCAGAAAGCTCTGCTCCCTCTCTCACTCTCCCTCTCTCTCCCTCTCTCTCTCCCTCTCTCTTTCTCTCTTTTCTCCCTCTCCTACATTTTCTTGCTGTTGCTAATTCATGGTGATCAAATGATGTACGACAAAATAAATTGTAAAGAGTGACTGCCTGGAGTTGGGAACCAGAAGGTGTTTCCCACCCCCCTCCCAAGGAGAGAGCAAACCTTTAAAAAGGAAGGACAATTGATTTTTGGGGGGGAGCTTAAGTGAGCCTTGACTTTGCAGCTGGTTGAAAGCAGGTAAGTTTCTGGCCTTGTGTCTGCCTTGCGTGTATTTTGTTCTGTCTTTTGGGTTGTTGGCGAGGGGGAGGGCCGGGGAGGGAGTCTTTCAGAGGGGTGGGAGGGTGGCTGTGTGGCAAACGCTCATAAAGAATAAAACTCCAATTGCAAGAAATAAGCAGATGAGGGGGAAAGGCAAAGGAGGAGAGCAAGAAGGAAGGGAACAGGAAAAGATGGGGTGTGGGGGGGAGAGACAACGAAGCGGGGAGAGCGAGAGGGAGGTATGACCGGGTCCACTTCAAGGGAGAGACTCTGGGAGGTGTTTCGGAAAGCCTGCGCTTTGGGGGGCGCATCGTTGCTGGGGGGCGGGGGGCGGGTGCTTCTGGGGGAGGGAGCTTGCGGGAGGTTAGGGTCCACCTGGAACGGGATGATAAAGTGAGTGGAGAGGAGCCCAGTCCGGTGGAAATAGGAAGCCGGCGATCCAGGACTGGCGCCAGGCAGGGCAGAGTGAGCCGCAGTGGAAGGGGCCGGTCCGGCGGGATCCCTCGGAGCCGGGCGGCGGCGGCGGCAGCGGCGGGTCTCCCGGTCGCGCGGGCGGGATGTGGGCAGAGAGGGGCCCTTTCTGCTCAGCCCTAGAAGGTGCAATTACAGGTTAAGGACCCGGCGTATCGACTTCGCCTCGCCTCCCCCACCGCCTGCCCTCCTCCGCCGAGATGCGGGCGGCTCAGACTTTTTACAGAAGTAGTTTCAGGACTGCGTGGGGGGGGGGGGGGGCGGGGAGTGGGGGTGCCCAAGTGGGGGGCCGCCGGGGGCTGCACCCAGGGACTCAGAAGGAAGCGGCGGCTTCGGGCGGCGATGCTGGGTGGGAGGCAGAGACCCCGCCCCCCCACCATCGGACAGCCCCCACCCCCTCCCCCAACACCTGCCAGTACACTTGAACTTCTCATAGTTCCAGGAGTTAAAGCCACTGCGCCTCGTGCCCGGGAGCGAGAACTGTCCACGCGAATCCCACCGGGCCTGCGGGCTCTGGCTCTTAATCCATCCCAGTGGTCCCACTTCCTCCCTTCTCATCTTCCTCGGGGCCGCCCAGCCGGAGAAGGGGGAGATACATGCCCGAACTTAAGCGCTTAAAAATGCGAGTGGGGTGGGGGGCAGATCTCGGGGGTGGGGGGCTGGAGGGATTCTCCTGCGAGGTTTAAAGGCGTCTCTGAAAAATTAGCAAAACTGAGTGGGTGACGGGGAAAGCCAACAGTTTGCGAAAGCAGAGAAGCAGGCAGGGCCGGGGTGAGGGAAATGAGCTAGAATTGATAAGGACAGCTCCCGCCTCTGCCGAGTCCACTGAGCTGGTCCTCACCGCGCTCCGCTGCACTTTCCCGGGAGAAGAAAGGGCTTTATCTGCTTCCGCAGACGATTAGCCCGGGAGTTTCTCGGGGCAGCGCGGATAATCGAAGGGGTTCCCAGCGTTTGGAGGGCTAAGGATCGCCCCCCTTCCCGCACGCTTGTCGGGCCCCCTTGCCCACCCACCCACCCCCAAAACTGGACCAACTGCTAATCGCATAGCTGCGGGCGCCGAGGTGACCTGGAAGATCCGTCGACGGTCGCCTCTGAGCTCTTGGGGGGCCTCCCGCGGGCTCCCCACGCCCCGGCCTCTCCCCGCCCCGGCCCGGCATGGACACGAGCCCACGAGGTGTCTCGGCCTCAGCCGCCACTTTGCCGTCGCTGCTGCCATCGCTGTCGCCGCCGAGAGCCGAGCCCGGGTGGTTTTAGGAAAAGTGAGGGACCAAGTGTGGGGGTCACGGAGAGAGGAGTAGCGGGGAGCCGAGCGGGCGCCCGGACGCCCAGACAGGGCCCCGGGGGGCGGGGGAGCGCTCACGGATCCAGCACCTTCAGACCTGCCTCTTAGGGTCGGGTCCGTCCGGAGACCTGAGCTGAGCACTGACCGTGGTTCTTTGCCCTCCCCTCCCCTCCACACCCTGCCCCACCCCGACCACACCCCACCCCCCTCCACCCCCCTGCTCCCCTCCCTCCCATCCCCCACCCCTGTCTGCCAGGTCGGAGGCGGGTTTAAAGCCAGGTGCGCCGAGGCAGCTCGCCATGTCCAGATCCGGGGACCGGACCTCCACCTTCGACCCCAGCCACAGCGACAACCTGCTGCACGGCCTCAACCTGCTGTGGAGGAAGCAGCTGTTTTGCGACGTGACCCTGACGGCCCAGGGCCAGCAGTTCCACTGCCACAAGGCCGTGCTGGCCTCCTGTTCGCAGTACTTCCGATCGCTCTTCTCCAGTCACCCCCCTCTCGGGGGAGGGGTCGGCGGCCAGGACGGCCTGGGGGCCCCCAAGGACCCACAGCAGCAGCCGCCGCAGCAGCAGCCGCCGCCGCCGCCAGCGCAGGAGGAGCCCGGCACTCCATCCTCCTCCCCCGACGACAAGCTGCTGACCAGTCCCCGGGCCATCAACAACCTGGTGCTCCAGGGCTGCTCGTCCATCGGGCTGCGCCTGGTGCTGGAGTACCTCTACACGGCCAACGTGACCCTCTCCCTGGACACGGTGGAGGAGGTGCTGTCGGTCAGCAAGATTTTGCACATCCCTCAGGTCACCAAGCTTTGTGTGCAGTTCCTCAACGACCAGATCTCGGTGCAGAACTACAAGCAGGTGTGCAAGATCGCCGCGCTGCACGGCCTGGAGGAGACCAAGAAGCTGGCCAACAAGTACCTGGTGGAGGATGTGCTGCTGCTCAACTTCGAGGAGATGCGCGCCCTGCTGGATTCGCTGCCGCCCCCCGTGGAGTCGGAGCTGGCGCTCTTCCAGATGTCCGTGCTCTGGCTGGAGCACGACCGCGAGACCCGCATGCAGTACGCGCCCGACCTCATGAAGCGCCTCCGCTTCGCGCTCATCCCGGCCCCCGAGCTGGTGGAGCGGGTCCAGTCGGTGGATTTCATGCGCACCGACCCGGTCTGCCAGAAGCTGCTGCTGGACGCCATGAACTACCACCTGATGCCCTTCAGGCAGCACTGCAGGCAGAGCCTGGCCAGCAGGTACGAGACGACAAAGGTGGGGGGTGGGGGGCTGCGGTGGGGTGGGGGAGCCCGGGAGGCCGGGGGGGGGGGCGGGCAGAGAGGAGGAGGGAGAGGGGTGTGCTGAACAGGAGGCTTCTGCAGGCTGAGAACAACTGAAAACAAACAATTCAGACTGGGGGGCGGGGGGGAGTTGATTTCAGAGTCCCTGAAAGGTCAATGGGAAACTGGCCTCCGTGCATCCCAGAAAGTCCACGTTCTCAGTATCCGCAGAGAGGAAGATGGACTCCTGGGCTGAAATTGACAGGCAGGTGGGACCAAAGGTCCGGGCCATTGGAAGTACAGCTTGGGAAGTCTTCCTACCCAGTCCTCCCTCTACGTCTCAAAATAGGCTTGGCTTAAGGAAAAGGATCCTGTGATAAGTACCCCCGCCCACTCCACCCCTTTCCTGCTTCTGGCGAGCAGAAGTGCCAGGGGATAACTCCAGAAGACAAGCTTTTCATTCATTCCAACAACTCAAGTTATTTTGTTTGTTTGTTTGTTTGGGGGTTGCTCCCCTTGGAGGTTAGAGTTCTAAAAGGCTTTGTCTTTTAGGGTCAGTGTTGGAAAGTCTGGCATCACCCAGACAAACTTTTCTGTCTTGGCAAAAGGAAGACCTTATGCTTTTCACTTTTAAAGGAGAGCCAAGCAAGAGGTTTCAGGGAGGCAGAGTGAATCCTGCCTAAGTAGCTCCCGTGTCAAAGGGGAGCACAGTTGCAAACTGAGGAGTGGTTCATCTAGCTGCAGTTAGGTCTGTGCGCCTGCTCTGAAGTCACAAAGGAGTTGGAGAATTGTTGTTGTTGTTGCTATTTGGAATGTGTCCCTGTGTGTACTCAAAGTAGGATTTCCTGTCCAAGGGGAGAGAGAAAAACAATGCCTTTTTAAAATGCTGGTGAGATTAAAAAAAAAAAAGACTATAGGCATTGATAATTCTGTTTTATTGGCTCCAATTTTAAAACCCTTTTTAATGAGCCCTCGCAGAGGGTTGCTTTCTCTTTTTAGAAAAGAAGTAGTGTCTTCTCAGTTTCTCAGGATAAAACATCACGAGTCCAGATGCTAGGTACCCCAGTCTCATCCACTAAGTGTTGTGTTAGAAAGTACATGGTTTAACTCAGAAGGATGTCTGGAAAATGGGGTCTGCTTTCTGCACCCTGATAGAATTAAAGGTTTCTTTTTTCCATCATGATGTTTCTACCAGACCTGGCTAACTGAAGTTTAGGAAAGTGGAAGATATTCTCTACAGTTGTTTAGGGAGCACTGGTGGCCATGTGAGGCCCATGGGAGGCATGGGAAATCTTGAACTTAGAAATCTTGTAAGTTGATTTTTCTACTGTTGGTAAGAAATGAATTAATAACTTGTAGCTTTGCAAGATAACACTAGCAAGACTATAACACAAGCAAGAATCCAAACTCTTATGCTTGAATAGTGAATACAGTAGTCCAAATGACAACTAGGACTTGAAATGTATTTTTATTTTGTAAGAGTTCCCATTTGTCTAAAGATCAAGTTGGTAAATTTAATGTGATGGGCAAATGTCACCATACCAAGGAACATTGGTGATCAATATTCTGTTATTTAACTTTTATGACTTTTAAACAACTTACAGGCATATATAATTTAGCATATATCTTACATATTCAGTTATAGTCCTGAACACACATGTATTCATATGTTTTAAAATGTACTATCTAGTGTAAATTCAGAAACCCAGAAGGAAAATAAAATTAAGATTTAACTTGTCCTAAGAGTAACGGGGCGAAATGAGAATTATACATTTGATCCAATAAATAAGCCTGAAGTCCTCAATGCACTTTTACCTGATAAATATGTCCTAGGTTTCAGTGTTAGAAGAGTTGACTTTCAAAATGAAAAATACATTTCTCACCTTAGTCTGGATTCAGCATGCCAGCTGGGGCCTTCTGGCTCTGTCGTGGTGGATGGCTGAGATACCAGGCTGCCTGGCTCCGTGACCACACAGTCCAGCTTCACTGGGCCATATCATTTGAAGGCTATGTAGTGCCGTCTGACCACTGAATGCTTACAAGTGTCACGGATGCTGCAAGAATCTGATACTTCCGCAGTAGGAAGGAGACTGTATTTTCCTTAAAAAGCAGATCTGGAAAACAGTTCATGTGAACCTATTGTTGATCTCAAAGTAATATAATTTTAGACTTTGTTCCATTATTAGTAACCATAGCATTTTAATTTGGGGGACTAATTACATTATTCTGATTTTAATTCACAGAAAGAATGCAAGAATAATCACCAAGACTTAGCTTTAATGTAGACAAAAATGCTGTAAGTTGCAACCAATAGTATGATATGAGCCCATTTATTATAGTGTCAGCATAATATAAAAATGTTCTCTCAGCTTTACATGTAGTTTAACAGAGGGATAGATGTGTTAAACAATTATTTTTGAAATTGCATCAGTTTTATTGAAGACAATGGGATGGAAGGGCATTGTATTTATTACTTTTTATCCACCTGTAGTTTCTAAAGTCTAAATATGAAAGAGCTCCTCAAATTCAGAGGAGTTGAAAAATTAAAACTGGCCAGTCTATTGGAATAAGTTCAAAATTCAAGCAAATAGAATAACTTCAAAGGAATTTACTTGTTTAAGAGTACATGTTTTCTATAGAATGCAGGAATATTAATATAATAATTATATATTTTAAAAAAAATTTTAAA